AAAAAAAAAAGTATTTGCTTGAGAGAAATAACTTCCATAGGACTCTAACCCTTAATCTCACATGAAAGTCACCAGGTATGTTAAAGGATAAAAAACTGGTCAGCCATTCACGTTTGCACATAATGAAAAATGTCAAACGCTTAGAGACATCTCATGATGGAAACGGCTTTATGCCCAACTTCACGGCATCACTTAATGTGGGATGTTGTTCGCCTTTGTGATGATTGTCACAATCTGGAAAAGGACTTTGCTTATATGCAAGATTGCATTTACCAAATGGGAACAAATCTCTGCAATCCTCGAGCAACCACTTTTTCAAGTAGGAGAATCATAATTCTTCCCTGCTTCTCACAGATATTCCTCAGTGAAGGATCCATCTTTTTAATGCACAAATAGAGCTAAAAAAGTGTGCCCTCTAGAAATGTTCTGTGGCGAAAGGAGAGTGCATTTACAGTAAAAGTGGGAGGACCTTGGAGAAATGGGAAGTTCAGTATTCATGTTCACATTATTTACCAGCAAAATAGATTCAGTCTCCTTTTTATGATAAGCAATACACAAGAGGAAAATTTAATAATGTACTACCGGACTCTGATTTAATACACACTTCCCCCATTATTTCTGCTTCAACTCTATCCTCAAGGAAATGGAAGAATGTTTTAAAGAAAACTAGGAGTCTACTAAGAGAGAAGATTACATTGGTATCTGGGGATTTGGCTGAAGTGTGGGAAGAATTCCAAAGGAACTGAGACTTACCGTTTTTGATCAAATGGTGTCTAAGAAAGTCTGGAATAATTAAGCTCTTTTTCCAACTGTGAAGGTTTGAAAATTAAGAGGAAGGCAATTCTGAGACAAGCTAGATGTGTGTCTCTAGTTTGCTTGTGTTCATGGGAATTGTTTGGTTTATTTGGTTTGATTTTGTGGTCTCTAGAAATAAGACTTTAAAACCACATGAAAATACCAGTGTACTAGGCGGTTTAAAATTGAACATAGGAGTATACATTAACCATTTTTGAGTTATTCATTAATTGTTCAACAGTAGGTTGGGACTCAAGTTACAGTCCCATTTAAAAAACTATTATATTGAGAGAGTGCTGGTTCAGAAGCATCTCAGAAAATTTCCTACCCGACTGAAAATGAGTGGTCTGTAGTTTTCACGAATTGTTAAAAATGATCACTTAGAATAGTGTGCTTTAAAATACTTTACAGCATCATATGTGGCGAAACAGGTGCCAACATAAATTCAGGAGCCCTGGTGGCACACTGAATTAAGCATTGCGCTGAAAACCCCCACTTTCTAAGTTTGAAAATCCTCTAGCTCCTTTCTGAGAGAGATGAGGCCTTTGGTTCACACGCAGATTTAGTCTCCGAAGCCCCATGGAGCAGTGACATGTTCTTTAGGGCAGTGGATGTCAAGTTAACCTTGGCATGCAGCTAGCAACCAATAGTCTGGACATCCAGAGGTATGGAGAGAAAGATGAGAATGAACGATTGAGAAATTGCTTCTGCTTCCAAATAATTAAATTGCAAATACATACATTGAGCTTCTATCATGCACTCAGGACTTCGTATAAAGCTGGAGTGAAAGATATAGGCCCTCTCTTTAAGATTTTAAAATATAGTTTCTTAAGAAGAGAAAATGGGTCCATGCATGTTTTCAGAAAAAGTAATTTCAAACAACAAATATCCAATAGGAAACAGTGAGTGAAAAATTGTTCTTATGGTAGCATTTGCTGTTTTGCTCTGCTCTCTTTTTAACAGATATCCGATATATACTAGGAATGGTTTTTATTCTGGAATGATAACATCTGTATTTAATGTTAAATATTAGACATTATCAATTTATGATCAACTATGTAACAATTGGACATAAGCTACCACTTATTTGCTTATCACTGAAGTCCATTTGTCAATGTAGCACAGCACACTGAGGTTCTTTCCTCGAGTCTACCTGTCTTGTCTTCTCTCTCTAGGCCGGTAGTTGGCAGACTATATTTCACAAGCCAGAACTAGCGTGTAGCTTTTGTGAATACATTTTTATTGGAATTCAGTCTCATTTATTTGTTTGCTATCTATGACTGCCTTTATATTGCAACTGCAAAGTTGAGCAGTTGTGATAACAGAGATGAATTGTTTACTATCTGACCCATTTATGAGAAAAATGTATTGATGTCTACAAACTAGACTGGTATATAGTGTGTTCCTGCTTGTGGACCCATGCGGTAACTGGTGCAAACTGACACCAAATTAGTATCCAAACACATTTTGTACCATTATTTACTTAAGGTAATGCGTTAAAATAATTGTCTTTTTTTCAATTATCATACAGTTACAATTTCTCTATATTAATATAGCTATGCTTCTCAGCCAGACTAACAGATTACATCACAAACAGAAACATTTCAAGTCACCAAGGATTTCATCCTGCTTAGATTGACAACCGATGCTCATGGAAGCTGCAGCCAAGAAATCAACTAACATATTGCTATGGTAACACTGAAACAGCTACACCAACCAAAATACATGTATGTCTGTAGGCAAATGTGTGTATAGGGCTATACGTGTTTGTGTTACTCTGCATACGTATATGGATGTAACTGCATGCATCTCTATTCAAATGTACAATAAAGGATGTCAGGTGCACGGATACTTTTTGTGGATGAACCTGAACATCTTACAGGATGAGCTGCCTGGCTTTGAAGTGTTTCATGGTTTTGAAGTCAATTTGCATAGAATATTTCTATACATTCTAGTTTGGGGAGTACTGTCTGGGTCTTCTAAGCTTGTGAGAAGTCATTTGAAACGGTCATCTGCTCATTTGGAGCAAAAGGGAAAGGAGGAAACCAAAGGTTCCAAGAAAAACGAGTTGGCAGGACTGATCTCTTCAAGAACCATGGCCTCTTCCTCCTTCCCAGAGACCAGAAGAAGTCAATGGGGCCGGTCTGCCACTAAAGACCATTCTGAGCAGAGCCACACTGGATGAACAGAGGGAGAATGAGAGCAAAATTGGGACCAGAACCTTGAATCTGAAAAACTAAGCCAGAATTATAGCACCAGTTGGGAACAGAGTCCCTCCTAAACCTTGAGATAATATTTAAACTTTGACCTGAAAAGTTGTCCTTAAGGTTGCCTTTTAGCTAAACAAATTAGCTCACTAATTAAAGAACATGAACCATGTTCCTTTAAAAAAATCATAAAATTCTTAATTTCTTATATTTCAAAATATTTTTCAAGAATATGTTAACGATGTTCCTTTAAAACAGTGGTTTGCAACCTTCTTCATGCTGCAACCCTTTAACACAGTTCCTCATGTGGTGGTGACCCCCCCCAACCATAACATTATTTTCATTGCTACTTCACACCTGTCATTTTGCTGTAATGAATCGGGCAACCCCTGTGAAAGGGTCATTCAACCCCCAAAGGGGTCGCGACCCACAGGTTGAGAACCGCTGCTTTAAAAAACACATCTATATGAAGAGATCAATAGTCAACAATTCGTTTGACACAAAGATGAGCATATTCAGAAGGCAGGGAAACAAGATTAATAGAAGCCCAGTAACCAGAAGAGGACAACTGGGGCTGTTCACTCAAGGTGAAGAATCAAACCGACCATGTCACTGAGGACTGAGGGAAATTGCATGGGAGCCTGAAAGCAAAATCAGACAAAGAAACAAACACCAACAAATCACCATTGCTAGGCTCCACACCCTGAACGTTTCCAAATCAACGGGTTTGGAATGAGATCTGCTGTTCTAGATTTGTAACAAGTTTCCAGGTACTTCTGATGTCTCCGCTCTGGGACCAAACGTTCAGGACAGAATGGTCCCAGGAAGACAGTGATGGTGAATCACCAAATTGTTCACCATAATAGTTAGCCAGAGATGATCAACAAACATTCAGAGTAAAATGTAGTTTCTAAAATCAAAATTTATGTCATATAGAAGTAGTGAACATGGATACGTTTTCTTTAGCTTTCAATAGAGACTTTTGAACAAGGAGATGTTCTGAAGCACTTACGTCATTGCTTGATAAATGGACTCAACCCCATAGCGCATGGCAAATTCATCCACTATCTCCTGAGAAGCGTCATCAAAGAAAACTTTCCAGGCCTCGTCCCCTTTAACCTCTGGGATTTTCACTCCACCGTTCGATTTCACTTCAGTCAAGTAATGGAACAGATTCTTAAAAAAAAGGTAAGAAGGTTTTTAATGGTTTAGAAATTCCTCACAACCTATCAGAAATATTTAACTGCAACTTTCAGTAAAATACGGAATTGCTGCTGATGAGTCACCAGCACTTATAAACAATAGGAGAATCTACTTTTACTTCTGCTCTGGTCTGAACAGAACTATCAAGTCAATTGTTCTTCTTATCCCAAAATATTTTCATGAGGAAATCAAGTATTTTGCATCTAAATAGCTACACATGCTAGAACATAACAGATTTGCATTCATGACCTTTGAGTACATTAGAGAGCTCCAGACAAATGATGAGATAATGATGATATGAATATATCATTTAGATATAGTGGCTTTGACTACAAAATGGTAGAAAGCAGGGAAATCATTGAGGTTAAAAAGAATGCTTGAGGAATTTTGTAATAGACAAGATCAGTACACCAGAATTTCTTTTTGCCTCTATCAGGTGTAAAAACTACAGCATGGATGCAGCCTGGGCCAATTGAAGGGCCTCGTTGGGATAGTCCACACCCTTGGACCAGCAGGGAGGATGCTGAAAAGCTAAGCATCATACTGGTCCCTCTGATCCGGAACCTTCTTCCCTCACACTTTCTTGGAACCGTATTCTTGCTTTCCCTTTTTTTCCACTAAAAGATGGTAGTAAATTAAACTTAGATTTTCTTATCCCCATTAGAACTCGCATGGTAAGCTTAGATAGCATCTGTGTGTTTGATTTTTAACCTGCCTCCCCTTTTTTTCTGAATGTATAATTTATTAGTAACTATAACACTCGGTTATGTAAGGCTACCCTTAATATGATACTTGTATAGGGGGAAGAAACATCACTTGGCCTCGTCTCCAGTATCAACAGACAAAGGTTCTAGGGATACCTGTAAGTTAGCTCTCTGATGAAAAGCCATCAATAGGAAATCAAAACCCCTGGTCTGTGTTTCTCTTCCAAGGCATACAAAACTATGATATGAATGTGCCCTTTGGATTCATGTCCAGTTCTCTTTACCAGGTCCACCCAACCTATAGTTCAAGGTGAACGGACTAACCAGTCTCCGTAAGCAAATGGCAACATTCTTCAAACCTATAAACAAGGGGCCATTGAAAACTTCGAGGACATATTACATTATCTTTTAATTCAAGTTGTCCACAAACTTCTGAAGAACCCTCCTATGTGTCGAGAAGGGGAACTAGCGTGGAGGGGAGCTTCGTGAGTACGAAGTCCTTCGTTGCGCTAACGGAACGAAAGTGCTAATCATGTTGATAATCAAAAAATTATCAAAGTCCTTGATCATTATCATTTTAAACATTCTTTGTTATAAATGATGTTCCTTATTAGATCTTCCATAAAATCTTAACATTAATTGAGATTCTTTACCATCATGATTTGGATTATCTCCTGAAAGTAAAACACTATATCTTTTAATGCTTTCAAAATAGTTCTCATGACTCATTTCCTCAGTAACTGAAAATGAAAATAAATTTTTAAGCAGTCTTTAGCTCTTTGCAAGAACAGTGATTTAGACTGTTTATGCAGTATAATCTTACTGTCCTCTTTATTAATACCTGACTCATGTACTGGTCTCTAAACTTCAGAATATGACCCCGTTCAAACTCACTACCCTCAAGGCAATGCTGACTCAGAGTGACCCTGCAAGGACAGCGTACATCTGCCCCTGTGGGGGCAATATAGGAGTTTTATAATGCCCTAACATATCACACATGATGTGATATTGTACCTAGAATAAGTATTACAGTAGTAATTCCATAAACCAAATTCAATTTTTAACCCGTATGTCTTGTTGCATGTTCCATTAATCGAGATCGGTGTCTTTTCTAGGCTGTTTTGTTAATACAATGTAACTTACCTCATGGAGACATGTATATTGTATATGATAGGGAGCAACCTTCTCCTCTCCTTTTATTTCCACATTGATTTTCAATCGGATGGCCCCAGAGACAGCTGACTTATCTGTCCGTTTCTCTGAGGGAGCAAAAGTGATACTGTCACTTTCAACAACACCTTATTTTTCATACAGGTTCCCAAAAGTTTAAGAATGACTTATGTGGATAAGTACCAACTTTATTTTTAGTTCATATTTCATTATGGAACAACTACAATTCCCTAAATTAAATTAAAAACATTGGTAATATCATCATGATTGTCAAATGCCATTATGAATACTTCAAATAGAAAAATGTAATTAGTAAAATCACCTAAATCTCATACAGAAATGAATTATTTTACTTGATAAATTTATTAAATAAGACATGCCATTATTTGGGCAATTATAAATAAGATAACTGAAACAGTTAGCCAGGAAACTTTTTGACCTAAAAGCTCCAAGCAACTAATCAGCTTTTTCTTTTTCTTTCTGTGTTTGAAGGAATGAACCAAAGGTTTGGCTAATAAAAATATTAAGTATTAACTAAGCTTTTAATCATTAGAAGGTAATAACACCTGCAGCCTACAGTTTACTTATGAGTTGTCTGATTAACTGTTTAATTGAATAAAATTAATACTCAAAATTAACTGATAAATGATCAAATATGTTGTGTGTTTCCAGAATCAATAACTTCTGAAGAATAGCATTCATTAAAAAGAGTGGGAATGTAGGTCGGGAACCTAAGCTAGACACTGATTTCACAGGTAAAATATGAAAAGGTGCCCCATTCAGAAATGAAACCTAAGAAGGTAAAATGAGATAAAGTCAGTGGTGGAGACTCGACCCCCCTTTGTAAACATCGCTGTCTTTTTAACTACATAAGATGCCGTTAAATTAGGCAGGCCACTTTCTGCTTGCTGTCTCTTGTCTTATCATTGCTATTATTTAAGAATCAGTATTTTTCTTGTAGTCTTCTTTCAGGAGGGCTGAGGATGAACATTTCTCCAACTGGTTTAGAGAGAGCTGATGCTCAAAGAGTGTTCCATTCCTCCTCTGGGCACATTGGGGTGGGGAATGGGGTACGGGGTTCCGTCCTGAGCCCAGAAGAACTTCACTGGTTCTTTCCTTTCCTTAGCAACCCCCCTCCAAATGGATACATGGGAAGCAGACGGTCATGTCTTTTGGCCAAACGGTGTGTGTGATGGAATGAGTGAAGTGGCAAAGGGGGAGCGCTGTACAAAAAGTAAAACTTGGACACAAAAAGGACTAGCTGAGGGTGGGCAGCCAAAGGCTGTCAAGCGTGTTGCTGCCATCTTCCATTCAAAAACGGAACCAGGCCAGCACTACAACTTAATAGCTAATGTCCCTAACTAGTAGCAAATGAGTTCCTCACTCAACGTAATAGATCCACGTTCATTCTGTCAAACACATTGGAGGGATTTCTATTCTGACTTTTAACTTGCTTGTCTCAATTCAAGGGCAAGCTAAATTGTAACAGGAAAGAAGGCTATGTATAAGTGAGCTTCTTTAAGACACAATTTGCAGGTCATGGAGAACTAATGGTTTAAAGTTTGCCTTTAGCCTAACATAGCTGTTTTCAATATGTAGTTATTTAATAGTGTAAATAAAGAATAAAGGATACTCATTATAATAATGGAAAAAATTCCAATAATGTACAGGGCATTGATTCTTCAAAACATTTTGACGATGAATTCTTTTCTATTTTGAATTATTTTTGTCCAGATAATTTATACATCACAGCTTCTTCAAAATATTAGATAATCCAGTTTCAGGAATCCTAAATACCATTTCTCCATTTATATTGCCAAATATTACAATTATGTAGGTTTTTTAAATTCCAAAAGCTTTTTAAAATTTGCTAAAATATATTGGTATATTAAATGGTGACTATGTAAAGTCTGGACTGTGTGTAAACCTTCTTTGATTCATAGCCAGATAAGCCCTCAAACTGTGAGACATTTCAAAAGATGTGATTAAGAAATTTGTGGATCATACCCTTTACAGAAACTGAGGTGACCTATACTGTTTTACTACTACTGTTAAGCCAACAATAAAGATTCTTGGTTGCTCTTCAATTCTCGTAGAAGTTAAATTAATACCTGTCCTTATCGAATTCTATAATTAAACAAAAATCATGCCAATTAAATATACTCCATCGCCATCATCAGTCAGTGTAAGTCCACAGAAGCACTTGGCTTTGCTAAACTAAATTAACCCAACCCAACCCAATTCAACCCATTGCCACTGAGTTGATTCCATCTCATGGAAAACCTATAGGCAAGACAGAGTCAGATTTTCTCAAAGGGTTTTCAAGGCTGGGAATCTTTATGGAAATAAGCTGCCGCATCTTACTCCCATGGAATGGTTGGTGGGTCCAAACTGCGAACCTGATGGTGAGCAGCCTGACCTTCACTACTGTACAACCGGGCTCCTCTGCCAACTCCCACATTTGTGTCAGCACATAAAAACCACCACCAACCCAAATATATGTTTTCCTTTATTAACATCTAATACAAGGACCAGAAGAAAACAATCTATAGCATTAAATCATAAGCTGCTCATTATACATTCCCCCTGAAGTTGGCTCTTACAGCTCTATTTTGTTAATTAAATATTATGGGATAAAATTTTTCTCCTATAAGTTCCCTAGTTGATCCTTTGAAATTCTTTTTCCATCTTAAGAATATTAACAACTTTGAGTAATACTGAATTTGAATAAACGACGTCTTTAGTTCCTCATGAAAGTATGCCCCCTAAAGCCCAATCAGATGCTCTGGAAGTACATTGCCTAATTTAGCTATATAGAATACATGCCCCAGCTATTCTGACATTTCACGGACATTGTTTCCAAGGAGATATAGCCATAGTCACCTAAGTTATACCAGACATCCATTTCTCCACTCAGGGTCCTCACTTCTACAATTGTTTGGCCCAGAAAATCATCGGACTCCTTTTTGAAATGCTGCTTGACTCTGGATTTAATGTCATCGTCTTCATCCCATACTCGGACTTTGATTCTGTCTGTGGAGTTATGGCACTCACTGCAAATAAAGGTGGATACGTTAGCAACCGCCGATTCGCTGCTCCAAATCGATCTAGACATAGTAAGTCACATCATGCATGACATTTGCCATGGCTCCATTCCATCCCTGGGATATTACAAAGGGTCTTGAGCAAAGTTGCTGTCGTGCCGTCATGGTGAAGGGGGAAAATCCTAACCTGATCCCTTTAAGGAACTGCTCGAGATCGAAGGAGCCCTTGTAGCACAATGGTCCAGGGCTCAGCTGCTAACGGAAAGGTGGGTTGGCCGTTAGAAACCACTGAGAGGTTTGGCAGGAGAAAACCTGGCAACGCGCTGCCAGCAAGAGTACAGCCTTGCAAACCCTGCGGGGACAGTTCAACCCCAGCCAAGAGGGTCACGATGAGTCAAACTGGCATGATGGCATCCCACAGCCACACACTAGATATAATCATATGTGCCTAAAATCTTCGCTTGGGATACTTTCTAATATGGAGAGATTTCATATTATCTTGCATAAACGATGGCACAGATAATACTGCGCTATAAATACGAAGCTTATTTTATGACAAGAAATTCCACGGAGTACAGAAATACCAAATGTTAAGTAACAGTAGTTAAGCTGAAAGACTCCAATACATCTATAAGCTATTAAGAGCAAATAGATTTAGAGTAAAACTCTTTTAAGAATAAACTGTAGATTCAAAATCACCTATTGTTTCAAAGTTTTCTGTATCCCACGCTTCTCAAAGAAGACAATTTACTGTTGCCCATATAGAAGATAACTATAAAATTTTGAAAACCTTTATTAAAAGATATATGTATATGTATATATAGAGCTTTGAAGCTATTGTTTCTCAACACAGCATTCATCTGGACCTATACATATGTGAAGGCAGCATTTCCGACTCTTGTAATTCTTTCCCAAAGTAGCCGGTGGTCAGTCTTCAACTCATAGCATATCACAGATGGAACATTTGGCATCCTCACGGGACTCAAACGTCCTTTTAAAATGTTCTTTGAAATAAAAATTAAGAGTCTGAAGGGACAAGATCATGGCACACTGGGCAAGAGTTCCCAGTACATGTTTCATAGGAGAGCCCTTGCTATCAAGGAGTAAGTAGGTACATTGTCAGGATAGAACGAGAACTTCCTCCATACGACTTTCCTGGCCTCAAACCCCCCTGCCTTCAAGGCCATATTCATTTTGTTAAGATCATTTATAATAAGCCTCAATGACTATTCTGTGTTCTTCAAGAAGGTATAGAGATTAAACCTGAGAAATCCCTAAAAACAGTTATACCATAACCTTCCACACTGATTTCCTCTGCTTTGAATTTAAATCGTTCAACGGCTTCCTTCTGAAGTCACTGTTTTGATAAGATTTTTAAAATTGAAAGCACCATGCCAAAGCTCAGACAGTGGAAGACAAGAACGTGTCTGCAGCCAATCACTTTTCATGGTGGCACTTAAACACGTTTTGTTCGAAATAAACCCATACCAATAAGAGTTGGAACCATAGTAGCATCGCTTTGTGGCTTATCTTATACTCTGGATTTCTTGATCCATGACTTTGCATCTAGACTCTTCCCTGTGCTTAGAACGCCCCTACTTTTCTTTCCCTTAACTGATTTAGCAACTCATTTCAGCGGCAGCTGGTTGTTTCATCGATGTAAGCTGACCCAGTTCATCCTGACCAATCCTGAGCACTGGGTAGACCCTGTGTATCTAACTACTAACACAGCTCTTTCACCTGCAGTCTGTGGATGAGTTCACTGAATCGTGAATTTGTATTTGAAGAAAACTGTTTTCCTTCAATTGTGTCAAACTAATAATTATAACATCAGACTCTCTAAGATGATAACCAATAAAACCATAGGTGTTTACATACAACATTGCAAATGTTAAGCATCTTGAAATATTTATACTTATTACTGTACTAATAACTATAATTTACATGATTTCAAATTATGTGTTTTATTACTTAAATACATGTAATTTTGAGCAGTGGTTTCAGAGTCTTTACCAGTTTTTTCAAAGGGTCCCACGAGAGAAGCATACTTTAGGAAACCATGAAGGTATAATGTCTCTTCTATTAATCAGTGAGAAACAATCGTATGTTGTTGCTTGCCACAAGCTGACTCACTCAGAAGCTTCAAGTACAACACAGTTAGACACTGCCCATGCATGTGCCCTCCTGACAATCCATTTTGATGGTTGCAGACGATGTACCAATCCTTCAGGTTGAAAGTGTTTAGTGGACCCTCTACCAAGTGAGATTTCATCCTTCTCCTGGGGCTATTCCCCTTCCTGCTCACATGCCCAAAGTGTGTGGAACAAAGTCATACCATCCTCACCCACTAAGGACCATTCTGCGTGGCTTGTTCTCACGCAGTGGTTCTCAGCCTTCCTCATGCCGCGACCCTTTCATACATGTGGTGGTGACCCCCAACCATAACATGATTCTCGTTGCTACTTCATCACTGTCATTTTGCTCCTGCTATGAATCGTCATGTAAATATCTGATATGCAGGATGCATTTTCATTGTTACAAATGGAGCATAATTAAAGAATAGTGCTTCATCAAAATAATGTGTAATTATATATTGTGGAACTATTTATGTGTTTTCCGATGGTCTTAGGCGACCCGTGAAAGGGCCATTTGACCCTCAAAGGGGTCGCGACCCACAGGGTGAGAACCGCTGTTCTAACAGCGCTGGTCCTTTTGGTAGTTCCTAGCAAAGGTAGTCTTCTCTGCCACTTACAAAATTCACAGGCATTGAGTCTTCACCCTTTCCTACTCATTATCCAGCGTTCACGGGCTTCACGTGGGTCATGGCCACACCTTGGTCTTCAAAGTGATAGCTTTGCAATTAAAAGCACTTTAACGAGCTATTTGGCAGAACATGCTCCCCCCATACATTATTGTCCGACGTGCTCTCTGATACTTTCACGTGTGCCAATTGTAGATCAGGTAGGATGTCAGGAACCTTGATGTTCCTCATCCCGGTTGTGAGGATTGGTGTTTTCGGTTGAGGTGTCATCTGTACACAGAATGTTGCCTTGAGTCTCCTCAGTACGTCCTTTCAGCAACCAAGATCGTGTCATTTGCATATTCTAGGTTGTTAATGAGTCATCGTCCAATCCTGATGCTGGACTCTTCTTCACATAGTCCAGCTTCTAGGAATGTTTATTGAGTGTAAATAGCAAAGTAGTGAAAGGCTACAACCCTGATGCACACCTTTCCCTGTTTGAAACCATGCAGGTACACTGGTGAATGAAGTCGGTGGGCGTGCCAGAAGAACACCATTAAAGAGTTGTGGGATTCCCAGTGTTACCCAGTGTGTTATGATCCACCCAGCTGGATGCCTTCGCAGTCGCTAAAAACACAGGTATTCTCCCAATTTCTTTGTTTTCAGTGAAAATTCACTTGAAGTTAGCAATGATATTCCTTGTTCTATTATCTTTGTCTATACCCAGCTTAAATTTCTTCCTCTTCATGGCAAATGAACTGCTACAACCATTTTTAAAAATTATCTTTAGCGAAAATTTACTTGCGTGTAATAAAGATAATGTTTGATGATTTCCACATTCTATGGAATCACCTTTATTTGAGATGGGCATGATGGGAAACTGGAGATGCATATTTGCCAGCTGGCAATCCAGGCAGCTGTCTCCTGAACACCTTGGCTTAGATGAGCGAGTTCTGCCTGGGCTTCTTCTCTGTGTTGAAGCACTCCAATCCTATTCCAACTATTCTTGAAGCCTTGTTTTTCTCCAATACTTGAAGTGCAGTTTGAATTTCTCAATCATATACTCTCTGGTGAAATGGTTGAAGGTCAACCAATTCTTTTTGGTATAGTGACTCTGTGTCCCTTCCATCTTTTCATATGCTGTGCAACATTCAATACTTTGTGCATAAAATCATTCAATGGTACAGCCCGGTGCTTGGATTGTTTTCTTTCATTTTTTTCAGCTTCATTTCGGAAATGCTCAGTGTTCTTCCCATTTTCTAAATCCAGATTTTTGCACATCTCATGATAGGACTTTGTCCTCCAGCCTCCCCTTGAAATCTTTGGTTTGGTTCTTTCATTTAATCATTTCTTCCTCTTGCATTCACTTCTTCATAGCCTAGAACAGGCTTCAGTCTTTCTATACATATATTTTGTCTTTTTAATGTCCTTTCGGTTTCTTCCTGTCAGATGTTAATTTCACAATTCACTTAATTTCTTGTTATTAATTTCATTTAATCAAATCTCTTCTTTAAGTGTTCTCTAAATTACGGTGGGATATGTTAAATATATGTATATCCATTCTAACACACTTGTTTTAATTTTGTTCAGCTTCCATTTGAAGTTACAGATAAGCAGCTGCTTCTCAGTGAATCTTGTGTCATGTTTTGACTGAGACCGCGCTTCTCCCAGCATCTCAGTCCTGATGAGTTTCCTTGATTCTGTTTATTCTATCCAATGTGTTGCAAAATGGTATTTGAAATGATTAAGTGGTTGGTATTACAAGATTGTACCAAGAGATCTCTAGAAGCTTTTCCCCCACCCCCAAGGGCCATAGTTTCTATTTACTATCTCTGGTGGTACAGCCGTTATGCATGGGACTGCCTCACCCTGAGTCAGCATTTCAGCACCATCCACCTCAGTGGGAAAAAGGTGGGGCTTTTTCCACTGCAGCCAAGAGTTATGGTCTCAGAAACTCACAGGGGTCTCACTCTCCTGTCCTATGGGGTGGCTGAGTCAGAAGAGACTAGACTGCAGGGAGTGACCCTTTTTGGTTTCCAACTTTTACATTTCAATCACCTGGGTCTAGTGTCACCTGATGAAAATGCTCAGAGTGCTTGAGAGGAAGCCTTATAATCCCCATTTGCAGGCAGCGTTCTGAAGATCCTGCCTCTAAGACAGATTTATTCTTTGGGTTATTGAGAACGAGAATGTTACACTTTGAGGACTAAGGTGCTCTTGACCCAAAGCAAGGTCTTTTGGGATGGCCTCATCTGCGTGTGCAAGGCAG